ATTCACTTTCAAATAGTGGTCTATATGGTGAAAAAATTAAAGTTGCAATAAAAATTAATAGAAATTTCAAAATAATTTACCACAAACAATATCTCTGGATTGAAATAGATATTTGCCACGTAAATATAAAATTGGTGTCAACAATGTATTGAAATTACGAGCATTGTACCACGTGCTATTCACACTGACATAATTTAAAAAAAAATATGAACACTACATATGGAACATATAAAGAGCACAATGTGCATCATTTAGTGTGTCCTTTTCAACCATGTCCAGTCATTGATACCTCACTATCAATGAGGTATAATAATCACATGAGCAATGGTGCTTCTTTTTCTGCACATAGAGAAAAAAATTCTTGTACAAGATCAGGGACATACGTCAGCAGCACAGTGCTTATTTGGCAATGTGGAATCATGAGTTTGATTCCCAGTTTTAAAAAATTGAATGTACATGTGAATGCCCTACTTCACAGATCAATTTTTATTTCTAACAGGCAACCCCTTTGCAAGTTGTCCTTTACAGCATTATTTCACTTTCTGCTTTTTAAATTCCTACCATAACATCCAATTTTTATCATTATAAGGTATAGAACCTAATGTATTCAACAGTTTACTCATTTATTGCATGACCCTAGATGTAAGACAGTAGTTTACACATGCCTGGAAGGGTCTTAGTAATTATTTTCATCATAGTCATAGTAATATGTCTGTTAAAATTTATTGATTAAACTTTTAAAAAAATTCTCATGTGATTTTTAAACATCCTAGAAGGACTGGGAATTGTGAGTGTGTGTCCACTGATTCTGGAATTCTACATCATTATAATGAAACACAATGTAGAGGATACTATCTCTCTACTTGAGACCACATATTATTTTAATTATCACAGTTAGATGTCCTTGGCAATTCCTATGACTGGGTTAAAATATCCAGCAGTGTCACTACAATGGATTCAAGACTTATTAAAACTAAACCTGAATGGAGAGAAGAAGAAAGGCTGCATGCAGTGTCCCACCCTCAATTTGGCCTTGTGAGAAGACAAGGATTCAGCATGGTATATTTTCTGTAATAGACTTTTCCATCTCATGGAATGAAAGTTAATCTCTTGTGGCTTACTAATTTTTCTAAAGTAATGTACCCAACTTTGCATGCCTGATGCCTAGACTTCTACTGTCACATTCTGAGTGTTGAACACTGAGGTTATTAGGAAAGACATGTCTGGGTGTGGCCTCATGTTACAAGGAAACATGACCCACAAGATTACATCTGGTGGATGGCCCCTGCCTGTCATACTCTGTCTCTGCTGAAGAATCTCCACTCAAATGTTGAAGATTTGATTCTGAGAGCATGAACAACCTGAGGCCAATATCATAAGGCAATGCCAAATACCTGTGCCCATGAAGAGAAAAGTAACAGACTTGTTTTCCCCTTATTATTCCAGCCAGGTCAAATTGGTTGTTGTCAAGCATATAGAAAGTGAGTCATTTGCCATGTGCTATAAATCAGTAATCCACAAAGAACTGCAGAGCATTAAAAATGGACTGGGATATTCATACTTATCATGAGACACACCACAGTAATCATTACAAAATATTAATCTTTATTTTGCTAAGAATTCCCTTCACAGATATTCTATATACATAGTAATTATTTTCAGATTCTCTTAAATTTTTTCAGAACATAAAGAAACATTTTACCAGTAAAGGCCTATAACCACCAGAATCCCTTCCTCAGAAGGAAAAGATTCACAAAATTATCTGTACATTAGACACAATCATTCCAATATTCTGCAGCTTGCCATACTCAATGAGTACTACATCATGCTCATGGATTTAAAGCAGTAATTCATATCATGAAAAACCAAATATGCCCAAATCTTATTTTAAGTGGAAAAAATTAATCACAAAATAGACAATGTGCTTGCCTATTTTTCCTGGGCATTGTCATCTCCCCCATTCTACTTGAGTGAAGGCCCCAGGAGCTGAATCTATTGATTTTCATGCTCTAGTCACCTTATTGAATGATTTCTGTGTGCTCACACAAATATGCATATAGTCCATACTCTAATAAAGTCTTAGATACCTTAGAAACTCCCCTCCATTTAAAGAGATGAACCTCCTGAAAATATGAATCCTTCTGATGATAAACCACATCACTCAGTTGAAATTATAAACCTGAACCTGTGTTACAGAGATGACATTAAAATATACATTACAAAAACACTTGTAATGTCTAATTATAAACTTAATGCTAACCTCTCAGCTCAGTTTAAGCTAATTTAAAATTTCCATTTCATCCTCTTGTCTTGGGGGTATAGGTCAAGCAGTATGACTGTATGGCCATGTCAGTACAACAATAAGTAAAAAAATCCAGGGAAACACAGACACAAGATAACCAGAGTAGTGCTGACATTTCCAAACAGAATTGCACTGCTCTCCTGATAGAGCTGCTCAAGAGAAATAAGTGAATACAGCTATCCAAACTGGAAACAACTGGGTAAGTCAGGCTCCTGTTCTACAGGGGACAATAAGAAGACTGGAAGGAATGACACAAAAGAGATATTTGAGTTTCCTAAGTAAAATGACTTGATCAAACTAAAACTAACTGACAACAAAATGAATTGAATATGCACAAAAAACAAACCTGTTATTGCAAGTGCTATCATTAAGCATTAGTTTTTTTAAACCTACTGAATACTGATTTGATCTGTATTTCAGATATAACAAAGAAATTCATAATACAATGCTAAATATCACATGTACCTCACTGAATGAAGGACACTGTGATTCATTGGTTGTTCATGCATGGTGTCCTTTTTCAGAGACCCGAGACTCATCTCTGTATTCTCCAACATGAGCCTATAAACTTTGCATTGTGCCATGTATCACTAGCACAAACTATGTGTCAACTTAAAAATTCAATATAAGTTTAATCTCAAACATTTTTCTTCATTATCCAAGCCCCATGGACTTTAGAAAAGATAATTTGAGATGGACATAAACTTTCAATGTGCATCTCATGTTGAAAAACTTCTTGTTCAGTTATCCAGGGTGGCCTTGATTTTTAAACACTTCTAACTCTCCCAAGAGGCTGGCATTAAATTTGTGCACCACCTTGACTCAGTGTTGTTTACTTCACCCCAACAGTGAATTCTTGGTGAAATTTCATGACATGAAAATAAAACACTGATCCAGGCATGGTAGTGCATGCCTGAGTCCCTAGCAATACAATGGATGATGTAGGAGACTCTGAGCATTAAGGACTGTGTAAACTACAGAAAGGGATCCAATTCCCTCCAGCAAAGCAGAGGCACAACCTTCACCACCAATATAGCATATTTCTGTCATCTTCTCACTGGCAGTTGAGATAGTTAGAAATATTACATGCACCAGACAGGGCTAGGATCCAGAAGGAGCCTGCACAGAGGACCAGATATCTGGTGACTTTGGAAGAGACACACACCACTTGCTGTGGATCAGATCTCAAGATATATGGCAAAGAAATATAACCACACCCTTAAGTATAATCCTTAGGGATTAGATATGGATCACCTTGAGAAGACAGGAGTTGCCATTACAACCCCATACAGAAAAAGTCACTGATCCATAAAGAATGCTAGCTTGTTACATGACTCAAATTCCCATTTTCTCTGATTTAGTCAATTTTACCTGCGGAAGGAAACTGATTGTTTGACCATAGCTCTTTTACATCTCATGCCTGCCTGTCTTGTGAGTTCTTAATCTGTCTTTAGACTTGCCTCATCTCATTGTTTTACATTATAAAAATTCCTGGAAAGTGCAGAGTCTTTGGCAATCCACATGGGACCCCTTCTGTCTCTCTCACAGAAGCATTCTTTCACTCAATAAATAATTCTTCTCTTAACCTTGGTTGTACCTAAAATTCATTCTTAAATTTAAAAGAACATGAATTTCTGCTGGATATATTGTAGAACCAGAAATTTAAAGGTTAAAAACAAGATGCTGTTTCTCAGCTAGAAACAGCACTGGGCCTCGTGACTCAGTCCTAACTCAGCCCTGCAGAAATAAAAACAACCTCTGTGGCTGTGATATGCTGGGGATGTGCTGTGCCAGGGAACTCAGAGATAGAGCCTGCCATTATGCTAATCAAGGTTGTAAAATATGTCAGACTTAAGTCTACAGAAACCAGGTGTCTTAAAGACAAGTTGTGCAGAACAAAGACAGTTAATTAACTCTGACCTGCTGGTCACCCCTTATGAACTGACCAATAGCAGACAGATAAGATGCCCACTGCTCCGCACTAACTGTAATGATTGGCCTCTGTAATAAATGCTTACACTGCAGTTTTTCCCCCTTAAATACACCAGCCCTGCTCCAACTCAGGGTTCTCCGTTTCCACCTGTTTGGAGGACCCCGTGTACACGGAATAATAAAAACCCCATTGTTCTTAGATGACAGCGAGGCCCTTGGAGTCTTCCTTGTGACACCGGTCTAACATTTTGGAGGCCCCAGCGAGATCAAACTGAGATCAGACCTCCTCGCAGAGGGAGACCCCCAACGGCACCTCTCTGGCGTAAGTAGTATGGCCGGTTTTTGTTTACTTTCATCTTGATCGATCACTTATTTTCTCCTCTTTCTTTTACTGCCCTGAACCGTTCGTTTTCTTTGGTTCTGATTTCAAAGGCAGTTTGTTTCTCTTGGGGGACGCCCCAAAGTTCCCCTGAGGAACATTCGTTGGTGGCTCACCAGTTTGGGTAGGCAGGTCGCTCCTGCTGAGTCGGGCAGGTCGCTCCTGCCATTGGATGTAGCCATTACATGGCTACGTTCGCAGTGGAATACTCCGCCGGTTCGTTTCCACCTGGTGGTTTTGGTATGTGTGTGCATGATGCCGGCTTGTGAGTTGTGTTCTGAAATGTAAACTTTTTGTGTTTTTCTGTGTCTTCCCTGTTTGTTGTTATTATTCTCTTTTTCTCCAGGATAAGATGGGACAGACAACTTCATCTCCTCTCTCCCTTACCTTAGACCATTGGCCCGAGGTTTGAGAGTGAGCTCACAATCTTTCTCTCCAGCTTAAAAAGGACATGATTAATGATGGTACAGCTGAGGGGAAAATGCCCTCTCCTTGGTTGCCTGTTTAAACTTGTTACTAACTTAGGGGCTTGTTGCCCATTTCTGTTGCAGGATCCATATGGCTTATTAGATCCAAGGTTCATAATAAGAAAAATTATTTCCTTTAGCTCACCAAACTGTGCAAGAAACAACCTTTGTTTGTGTCTTTAATGTTGTGGCGCCTTGTTTAATATATAAGTCTTCAACTGATTGCTTGCAACCTTGGCATGCCTTTTAAAAAGAGTATTTTTCTTTCTGGTTAAAATGTAAACATATGTGCACATATATGTGTATATGTATGGTTTTTAAGAATCATATCAACTTTACCAAGTGAAAACCAGGTCATACTGTAATTGAGCCAGTAAAAAGGTTATAGTTTAAAAACAAAACAAAACAAAACAGCATTTTAATGTGGTAAAAAGACATAAAATAATTAAATATGATTTAGACTACTAGAAGGTGACTTCAAGGGTTCTGTTGTGAGTTTTAATGTTGTCTGAGAAGCAAGAGAAAAGGTAATTGACTGGTAATAGTAAAAAGGAGGGACAAAGAAAGTGGTTTGTTTTCAAGTAAAAATGTCTGGCTGTGCCAGAATATGAAAGAAGATAAAACTTGGAGGTATATTGTAAGTTATAAAAAGCACGAGATGATGTAAATTTTATTTGTCTTGGTTATAGTACTGAAAACAGCAGGTTTGACAAGAAGTAAATGTGTTCAAAATTTGACAATATTAGATCAGTTTTGGTAGATTTATTTATAAGATTCTAAACCTTTGCTGCAAGGTGTTTCCATTAATATGAGATTATAGATGATAATAGAGTTAAGATATAAGTTCTTACATGTGCTGTGGACATCTGGGAGATTATATGGCACAATTTTGTTACGTATGAAAAAGCTTCTTTTTGTTAAGTATTTAATTTCAGTAAAATGAAGGCCTGACAAGTGACACCCTGGGACAAAGGGTGGTGTGCCATCCAGAAAAAGCCTGCTCTCTGATCCGGAATGCCAAAACCATGTTTTCCCTTTGTCCCACCCCGATTGGACATCCAAAGGTAAGGGGGTTTCCCCAGCATTGCCAGTTGTTCTCTTTGCAACTCAGTCGGCCCCACATGTTAAAAAAAAAAAAAAAAAAAAAAAAAAAAAAAAAAAAAGATTACAAAGGTTTGAGAGTTTTTGAGAAAATGCCCCTCAGCCAGTTGACAGAGATAACACAAGAGATCTTTTAAAATTTAGGGAAAAAAAAGAAAAAAAAAAACACCCTGAGATAGTGCTCCTCCAGTTCGTGAATGACTTGTTAATAGCCTCGACCCACCCAGAAGCTTGTAAGCTTATCGAGAGGCAACTGAGAAACTGTTAAGGACTTTGGGGCAATTAGGCTATAAAGTCTCAGCTAAAAAGGCCTGATCGTGCTGTCAGGCTGTGACTTATCTGGGCTACAAATTGCAAAGAAAAAAAAAAAAAAGGAGGACTTTGTCTAAAAAGGAGCCCAGGCTATCTTGCAGATCCCATTCCCAGAAACTAAGAAACAGGTGCGTGAATTTCTAGAAGCTGTCGGATACTCCAGGCTGTGGATTCTAAATTTTACTGAAACAGCTCACCCCCTATATGGCTCTCTTAAGAGAAAAACTCACTAAACTGGACTTATAAATGTAAACGGATCTTGCAGCAGCTCAAGTGGGCCTTGACAGAGGCCCCAGCCCTGGGACTCCCTGATGTTACCAAGCCATTCATTTTGTTCATAGGTAAACTCAGGGGCATTGCCAAAGGAGTCCTAACCCAGGTCATTGGCCCTTAAAAGAGGCCTATAGCCTATCTTTCCAAAAGGCTCAATCCAGTAACAAGAGGGTGACCTCCATGCCTAGAAATTTTGGCCGCTGTGACAATGCTACTTAAAAGAGGCTAAGAAACTCGCTTTTGGACAGGAGATTTCTGTAGTGACCTCCCACAGTTTAGAGACTCTTAACAAAACCCCTCCCGAAAATGTGAATGCTAAAATCTCACACTATTAGGCCCTGCTCCTAGACCCAGAATCGGTAGTTTTCAAAACTTCTTCAGCTTTAAACCCAGCCACCCTTATGCCTGACAGTGACCTGAGAAATTTCACAGATGAAACCAGCTTCATCCAGAATGGCAGAGACAGATGAGTGGCCGGGACAGCAGTGACCACCAAAAAGGAGGTACTCTGAGTTAAACGGTTAGAGCCTGGCATCTCTGCCCAAAAGACAGAGCTTATTGCTTTGACTGAGGTACTAAAACTAGCCACGAGAAAGAGGGTAAACATCTATTCTGATAGTAGATATGCTTTTGCTACTATACATATACATAGAGCCATCTATTAAGAGTGAGGTCTCTTAACCTCGGCCAGAGCTAAGATTTAAAAAAAAAAAAAAAAAAGAGGGCTCCACAGATGCTAGATTTGCTGGCAGCAGTCTGGCTGTCAGCAGATTGCTGCTATTCACCTGAGAAAACAATTTGGCAGATCAGGCCGCTCAAAGAGTAACAAGCACATCAGAGAGGCCAGCCGAGAAAGTAACTGCTCTGATGCGATTCCCCCCGACCTTGTCAGAACCAGTCTACACAAAAAAAGACTACACTGGTTGTTGTGAGCCATCTAACGGATTCCAGTCCCTGTGACTAAAAGACAAGTACAAAATTTCTAGGAGCCACAGGACTGATCCAGAGTTTGGGACCCTGGCAGAGGCCTGTTGCCTACCTTTCCAAGAGACTTGGTTCTGTGGCAGCCAGATGGCCACCCTGTCTGCGGTGATTTCATCAATGACCCCCTCATAAAGGAGGCTTAAAAATTGACTTTTGGACACAAACTCTTAATTGTTTCCTCCTATTCACTGGAGACTCTCATCAAGGCCCCACCAGACTGATGGATGTCTAATTCCTGAGCCATACATTATCAGGCACTATTTCTGAAAACAGCAGCTTCAAACTCGGCTACTTTGCTGCCTGAGGATGACCCCTCATCGCCTCACCACAATTGTACTGAGGTCATTGAACACCTCACGGAACATCGACCTTATCTAGTGGATAAGCTACTGTCTAGAGTTCCATCCTACTTCTCTGATAAAAGCAGTTATGTCTCTCAAGGTAAGCGGGTCGTGGGAGCTGCTGTTACACAAAATCTTAGGTTCTATGGGAACAAATCTTAGAGCCAGAGACATCAGCATAATGGGTTAAACTCATTGCCCACAGTGAGGCCTCAAGTTGTCTTTATCAAAAATGGTGTTTATTGTCTTCTGATTCCTGTAAGTTGTATCTGTATTTTCATTTGTTTGTAGGTATTCCTTAATTTCTTTTTTAATTTCCTCTGTGACCCACTGATTACTCAGGAGTGTGTTATTCAGTTTCCATGTGTTTGTGGGATTTTTGCAACATCTTTTATCATTGATTACTAATTTCATGGCGTTATGGTCTGATAGCATGCAAGGGATAATTTCAACACTTTTGCATTTATTGAAATATGTTCTGTGAATTAATATATGGTCTATTTTAGAAAATGACCCATGTACTGCTGAGAAAAATGTGTATTCTGTTGTTGTTGGGTGGAATACTCTGTATATATCTATTAAGTCCATTTGTTCACAGGTGCAGTTCAGTTCTTTTATTTCTTTATTGATTTTCTTTTTGGTTGATCTGTCCATTGGTGTCAGTGGTGTGTTAAGATCTCCTGTCAGAATTGTATTACTACTGATTTGGTTTTTCATTTCTGTTAGTACTTGTTTTATATAACTGGGTTCTCTGGAGTTTGGTGCATATATATTTAAGATAGTTATATCTTCCTTTTGGAGTTTTCCCCTAACCAGCATGTAGTGACCTTATTTATCCTTTCTAATCATTATTGGCTTGAAGTTCACTTTGTCTGCAAACAGAATAGCTACTCCAGCTTTTTTTTGGGTTCCTGTTGCATGGAATGCTGTTTTCTATCCTTTGACTTTGAGTCTGTGAATATCCTTTTGAGTTAAGTGGGTTTCTTGTAAACACTATATGGTTGCATTTTGTTTCTTGATGCATTCTGCCAGTCTGATTCTTTTAATTGGTGTATTGAGACCATTTACATTAATAGTAAGAACTGTTATAAATTGGTTTATTGTTGACATATTATCTTTCTGGCATTGCATGTTATCTTTCTGCTCTGTTTAACTGTCTGCTTTGTTTAGTGGTTTTTTCCTAAATGTATCTAGGCTGTCTTTCAGTATTCTTTGCAGGGTTGGCTTGGTAATCATGAAGTTTTTCAGCTGATCTTTTTCATGGAAGTATAGTATTTCTCCATCAAATTTGAAGGACAGTTTTGCAGGGTACATCAGCCTAGGTTGAAAATCATTTTCTTTTAGGATCTGAAATACATCACTCCATGCTCTTCTTGACTTTATTTTTTGTGCTGAGAAGTCTGCTGTAATTCTGATAGATTGTCCTTTATAGGTGATCTGTCTTTTCTCTCTGACAGCCTTTAATATTCTATTCTTTTGTTCAATTTCTGAGATGGTCATTATTATATATCTGGGTGTAGATTTATTTGGGTTGTGACTATTTGGAGATCTATATGCTTCATTGATCTTGATATCAGTTTCCAATCTCATGTCTGGGAAATTTTCAGCTATTACTTCTCTAAATATCCTCTTGACATCCTTTATGTTGTCCCCTTCTTTTTCATTTATCCCTATCAATCTTATGTTGTTTCTCTTTGTGTCATCCTTTTGGTGTTGAATTGTTATTTCCTGATTTCTTGTTATTTTTAAAATATCTGTTCTTTCCTATTCACTTGTTGCAATCTTGTCTTCGAGGTCTGAGATTCTATCTTCACATTCACTGAGGCGGTTTTTACAACTTTCAATGGAGTTTTTGATTTCCTGTATATCTCTTTGCATCTGTTTTATGTATTCTGTTTGCTTCCTATACTGTTCATGCAGATATTCTATCCTTCCATTTAGTTCCTCTAATTTTTTAACTGCCTCTTCTTTAGCTATGTTTAGTATCTGCTTCATTTCTTTTATCAATTCTTCTTTCATCTGAGAGAATATTTCTAGTTTGAATTCCTTCAGGGTTTCCCATGCTTGCTTCTTTATTTCGGTTACCATTATTTCAGGTATTTCAGTCATGTGGCATGTTTTTTCTTCTATGCACATGGCTCCTGGGCTTTCTTGGGATGGGCTGGATGTTTGAGATTGCATTTTAGACTTTCATTTTATCATTTTCCTGTATTTGGAAGCTTCAAGTGTTTTTCCAGGTGTGGGAGAGAGATCCACCAGCCTGGGATGGGGTACCTTGTGATCGCCCCACTTACAGGACCCAGCAGGGAACCATGGCCTGCTCCTCAGGCCAGGAAGAGTGTCTCAGGCTGGGCTGAGCTCCCAGCCACTGCTGCCACCATCTCTAATCTGGCCTGGTCCCCGTGTCTGGTAGAGACTGGCCTGAGTCCCCAGGTCACAGGGAAAGTTCCCACAGGCTGGGCAGAGCTCCCAGCCACCGATGTTACTCTTACCCTTCCGGTCTAGTCTCTGGTCCGTGGGGAGCCCATTTAGTCCCCCAAGTCAGGGAGAAAGTTCCTGCAGGCTGGGCGGAGCTCCCAGCCATAGCTGCTATAGTCTCTGAACTGGGCTGGTCCCGGGTCTGGTGGGAAACCAGCTTGGGTTCCCAGGTCAGGGTGAAAGTTCCCACAAGCTGGGTTGAGCTCCCAGCCACAGCTGTTACTCTTACCCTTTGGTGGGGAGCCGGTCTGGTCTCCCAATTCAGGGAGAAAGTTCCAGCAGGTGGTGGTACAAGCGCCTCTATCACTGCTTTTGCTGCCTGGATCTTCCTGGAGTTTTATTCCCTCCCCCACATAACACACAGTGTCAAACTACACATCAATCACGTCACTCACCAACACTCTGCTTCTCACAGACACCCGGGCCACAGGCAGCAGCAACCACTCTCACAAGAGGTTTTAGCGACATCTCTTAGGCAGGCTCTCAAATAATTGAGCCAAATATATACTCTTCTACATGAAGATAATTTTGCCTCTATGCTGAATAACCCTTCAGGTAACATTTCCTCTAATGTTTTACATTCTGTGAATAATGAATTAATTACAATTACTTCTAAGTATTTCTCGATGCTACTATGATTATCATATAGCTATTTTATGCACATCAGGAATTTGTTTTGATGCTCTTGGAGGTTTTATGGCACTAATACTGAACTTATGCATTTTTCTTTCTTGCCATTTCCCCCCCTCTAAATGTTACAATTAATCCTTTTCCAGGAAAAGAAATCTTAGGAGGAAGTGTCCCGCTTACTTGAGGACACACACTAAAGCATTGGGTGAATTGTTCCACATATTTCTACTAGGAAATGATCCTCCAGTGAACCAGACAGAGACACAATTATTAAGAATATTTGAATTCAGACTGAAATCTTGAAAAGCCGACACTTTGGAAGTGTGTTTCTTACAAAGGGTAGGAACAGCAATATGGATATGGGATTGGAATGAGGTTTCCATTTCAGAGAGGATCTTTGTAGAAAGAATACTTAGTTTTTAATGGACAAGTTAATTTGTGTTCATTGTGCACAACATGCTGAGGTATATCTCCACAATTCCCTCAATGAACCCGTTAACAGTTACATTATGTGCTGTAATCAGTAGACAGACTTAAGATTTTTCAGACATAAAACCAAGGAAATAGAGTGCTAAGAAATTGCAGACTAGGACATGGTATAAAAGGAAACCTTGAACCCCTCTTCCCACAAAGTGGCATCAATGTCAAAATAAGACATTATTAGTAAGGGATGCCATGAGAAAATGAAGACTCTAGCGCTGAGGAGCATGCCCCATCTGTGTAATGCCTGTGTCTGGGGACCACTGCGCCTCTAATGATGCATAGACATTAGAAATCACACCAAATAAAGGAAAGAACATTATACTAATTCTGAAGACCAAACAACACAGAGTGCACCTGTATAGGTTTCCTAAAATGTGTTTCTGAATGTTCTAATAAATTATAAAATGCATGTCAATAAAACACTAAAAATGAATGAACATCTGGAGAATTAATTTTAATAAAGAAGAAATCTGAAGTTTCAAAAGTCAAAGAACAGGGTATAATTACAGGCTCTAACATAAGTAAACTCTCAGGGAATGAATCACGCCACACTTAACATCTAGGATAGATCAAACAATAGTTTTTTTCAAAAGAGAATACATCATAATTAATGCAATGCAACCATTTTTCTATGTTAAAAATATAAATAATATCAAATATTCAAAAACAAATAACAAGGGTTTCGTATGCATGGAATTGACTGGTGTTGAATTTATTTATTATATTTTATAGAGAATAAAACAAAAGAGCACAGAACAAAGCAAATCAGAACAGAACAATGCAAACAACACATCACTTCACAACAAAACAACCAGATATTAACAGTAGCTACCATAGTGTCTCTTTGCAATATTTGAGCATACTTTCATCTTCAAGAATAATGAAATAGTATAAAACCACTCAAGAGAATGGAAGTATTACAGGAATTCACATCAAACAGCAGAAAATGAAATATGGCTACTATACCATCTCATTTTCCTTAAAATTTGTTTATATTATCACCTATAAGACACAACAGGAAGGGGCCAATCAAAATAGAAGAACAAAAGCATAATAGGATTTCAAAACAAGACAGTAGTAAATCAGCAGTTGCTGCCATAATACCTTGTGCTCTTCAAAGCAGCTGATCATACCATTACACATAATGAAATAAACCAAGACAGAATAAAACCATTCCAAGCTATTAATTAAAATATTATAAGACTTCAAATCAATGTACTGGGAAACCATGATTACCATAAAATCTTATGTATACTTACTATTTCTTACACTAGTGAGACTATATGGTATTTAACATGTGAGTTTGATTTATTTCAATTATGAATATGGTCTCAATTGTATCCAATTATTTATAAATATCTCAGTGTGATCATTCTTTATATCTGAGTAGTACTCCACTGTATAAAAATACCACATATTTTTATCAATTCCTCTATTGAGGGCCACTAAGGTTGTTTCCAATATCTAGCTATTATAAATTGTGCTGCTATAAACATCAGTGCACATACATAACAGTGGTATAATGTTTTCAGTTCATCTGGGAATAAACTCAGAAGTGGAATTGCTGTGTCAAATGTGACTTCCAATCTCAGCTTTTAGAAGAATCTCCAGACTGACCTCCACAGTCTGCACTGCAACTAACAGTGCAGAAGAGTTCCTTTTTCCTTACAGCCTCTCCAGCATTTGTTGTTAGCTTTCTTTATCCTGGCCATTCTTTCTGGAGGGAGATGGAATCTCAGATTCGTTTAACTTGCATTTCTCTAATGACTAATGATGACGAACATTTTTTCATGTATTTGTTTGCCATTTGTATTTCTTCTTTGAGAACTGTGTATTAATCTCACATGCCCATTTTTAGATTGGGTCTTCGAATTTCGGGGGTCTGATATTTTTAGTTCTTTATATGTTCTAGACAGAAATCCTTTGTCTGAGGAACAATTCACTAAGATTTTTTTCGCAATTTGTGGATTTTCTTTTCACTGTGTTAGAGTGTTCTTTCAACATGCAGAACTCATTAATAAGACATGATCCCAGTTATTGATTCTGTGAAGTATTTCCCTTGCAGTTTGGCTCTTGTTCATGAATTTTCCACCTACCCCTATATCTTCAAGATTTATACCCACTATATCTTCCAGCAGATTTATTTTTTCAGTTTTAATATTTAAATCTTTGATCCACTTGGACTTTAGTTTAGTATAGGGTGATATTCATGGGACTAATTTTAGCTATACAATACAGAAAGTCAATTTTCCCAGAACCATTTAATAAAAAGACTATCTTTCTTCCAGTCAATGTGTTTGGCCCCTTTACCAAAGACAAGGTGGATAACTGTGTTTGTAGTTGTAGTTGTAACTTCTAATCTATTCCATTGATCTTTAGATCTGTTTTTATTCCAGGACAATGTTGATTTTATTACAGTAGCTTTGAAGTATAACTTTAAGACATGGATAGTGATACCTCCTGCCTAGTCTGTGTTGTAAAATTGTCTTTGGTATTCTAGGCCTCTTCTGGTTCCAGAGGAGTTTTAGAAGTGATTGCACTAGATCTATGAGGCATGCTATTAATGTTCTCATTGGCATTGCATTAAATCAGTATAATAATTTTAGGAAAATGGCTATTTTCACAATATTTGTTTTTCCTATCCATGAACAAAGGACGTCTTTCTATTTTCTGAGGTTCTCTTTGCTTTCTGTTTCAGGGTATTATAATTTTCCCTCAACAGATCTTTTACTTCTTTTGATAGATTTATTCCTAAGTATTTCATATTTTTGATGTTATTGTGAAGGATTTGGTTTATATCTGTCTTAGTTATATTGTTGTTAGTGTATAGAAATGCTATTGTTATTTTGTGTGTTGACATTGTATCCAGAAAAATTACTATTATTGATTTATTATAACTAAGATTCTTTCAATGGAATTTTGAGGGTCTTCATGTACAGTATCAAGTCATCTTCAAATCATGAAAATTTAACTTCCTCTTTTCAAATAATTACTCATTTTAATTCTCTTCTTTGTCTAATTGCTCTGGCTACTGTTTAAAGTAATATGTTGAATAAGAGTGGTGACAATGGATGTCCTTGTTTTGTGCCTGATTTTACAGTAAAGTCTTTCAGGTTTTGACCATTTTATATGATGCTGTTCATTTGTCATAGGTGGCATTTATAATATTAAGTTAAAAACACCTACAGAAAATTGTAAAATTTTCTGTAATTTTCTTGTCATGAATAAGTTTTGGACCTTATCCAAAGCTTTTTTTTACATCTCTAAAAATGATCATGTGACTTATTTTTGGCTCTATTGATATAGTGGGTTAAATTTATTAAATTGGCTATGTTGAACCATCCCTGCATTTCTGGGATGAATCTCTCCTAGTCGTGGTGTACAATCTTTTTGATGATTTGCTTCATTTTGTTTGCAAATATTTTATTGAGTATCATCTATGTTCATTAAGGAAATTCACCTGTAGTTCTCTTTTTTAGGTGGATCTTTCTCAGGCTGAGGTACCAGAATAAGATTTGCTTCCAAGAATGAGTTAGAAAGAAATGCTTCATTTTCAATTTCATTGAAGAGTTTGAGGAGTGTCGTCATTAAGTCTTCTTTGAATTTCTTGTAGAATTCTGCAGTGAATACATCTGGGTCTGGGCTCTTCTAAGTTGGTAAGGATTTAACTGCATTTTCAATCACATTGATTGTTGGATTATTCAGCAGTTTTACACCTTCTTGACCCAGATTTGGTATTTCATATGTTTCAAGGAATCTGTCCATTTTTAATGTGTTATCAAACCTGAGAGTAAGAGGTTTTCCAAACAGGTGCTGATGCTCTTCTGTATTTCCACAGAGTGCAGTGATTTTACCCTTTTCATTCCTTATTACATGAAATTGAGTTTTGCCTTTCCTTTTTTAATAAGGTTGCCTTGTTGCACTGATTACTGCTCTGATCTTTATAATTTCCTACTTTCTTTTGACTTTGGGCTTGCTCTTCTTTTTCTAGATATTTAGAATGTAGAACCAGATTGTTTATTAGGGTTCATTCTTTTTTTGTGAGGTGGGAATTCACTGCAATAAATTTTCCTCTGAGGACTGCTTTCATTACATCTCACAAATTGTAGTAAGTTGTATTTGTATTTTGGTTTTCTTGTATATATTGGTTAATTTCTTCTTTAATTTCCTTTGTGATCCACTAATTGATTAGGCATGTATTATTGAATTTCCATGTTGTTATTAGGTTTTGCAGTTTCTTTTCTCATTAATATCTAGTTTTATATCACTAATATCTGATAACATGTATGTCATAATTTCAATTCTTTTACATTTACTTAAGTATGTCCTGTGAGCTAGTATATGGTCTAATTTAG